TGGAACAGTGTTGAAAAGGATTCCGAAGCTGTGTAAAGTGTGCAGCAATCGATTAATAATGTCTGCTGAGGGCCAAGAAGTGGAGAGTGGAGTGTACACTTGCCTTGTCTTGGCCACCACTTGGCCAGACAATTACTACTGTCCAGAAAGGAGAAGGTGTGGTGTGGAGGAGAGGTGACTGATGGAGACAGAGGTCCTACCTCCAGCTACTCTGATACCTGGTGTGCAGCTTTGGACCTGTTTTCTCATCAGTAGAGTGAGGGGACTGGACTCAAGGGTCTCTGAGGATCTTCCCTCTATTAATTCCCCATAAGACTAGTCATTTACTCATAGTGTGGAAAGAGGAGTAGTATTAGGATTGACTCAGTGGAGCGCTGGCTGCATCTGAGGGCACCTGGAACTAAGCTCTGTCCATTAACTGAGGTCCAGGCAGCTGTGATGTACACAGGACACTGTACACAGGCCCACACCCCACCATTCACACACTCTCCCTTTAAGAACCTGCTCCTGTCCTCAATCCTAGAGGACCCCATCCAGAGCCCCAATCTCTCAGCCACTGCTCTGATCCCTCCTTCAAATGCTCCTGGAAAGAGCGCAGTAAGGGGCTCCTGTACACACTCTATAAATGTAAAACATTCCCGTTACAATGGTTGCTATTGTTATTTTTAGGGATGAGGGAGTCTGCCTGGGGTTCCCTCAACATTTTAGCTTGGAAGTTTCAACCACTTCCTCGCCCATGGGTTTCTTGGGGTGGAAAATGCCCTCAACACCCAAAGGACTGGATCACAGATAGTGAGATGGAGGTCCAGTGACATCAGTTTTCTCAGCTATAAAATGGGGTAATGAGAGTATCAATCCTTAGGGAAGTCGTGAGGAGTGAAAGAGATAATACATGTAGCACTGGGCCATTGTACATACCCTATAAATGCGGGACACTCCTATTACAGCTGCTGTTACTCTTGCTGTTGGGGATGGGGAGTCTGCCTGGCATCCCTCAACGTCCACCCTGAAGGAGGCTGCTGACACCCCTTGCTCCCCCTTGGCCTGCAAAATGGATCTGGCAAGTTTAAATTCCACCCTCTTCTCTATCACCGCACACCGTCTGCCCAGCCCTAGGTGACATCTGATTTCCTCCATTTGGGCCATTCCAGTTTCTTTTTTTACAGCAAGCAAATCAAGTAGCAGGCAGCTGGAGCGCTCATTAAGGGTCCCAGACCAGGAGAGAGGCGCTGATGGGGGAACAGCTGGAGCTGAGGCCTGGAAGCCACACTCCCAGCTCCCCTGAGCTGGCTTCCTGCCCCCATGCTCCTCTCCTGGCCCTGACCCACCCCTCCCAGTGGCTTAGCCACTCAGATCTGGGCCTGTGCTCACATCAGCCCCAGCTCACCTCATTCCAGCCTCTTCTCCCTACTGGGTACCCTCAGCCTGGCCTGCCAGCTCCCTCTTCCTCCTGTCTCACAGTCACAGCCTCTGCCCCCAGCATGCTGCTTTCCCCACTGGGATGAGTGGTGTGCATGTGCCCCTGGATTCCTGCCTCCAGGCCTTTGCCCAGGCTGTGTGCCTCCCCAGGATCGCTCTGCCAGATGCCCTGCCTCCATCCTTCAGGGAGTGGCCCCGGGCTCACCTGCTCCGGGATGCACTGCCTGCCCCGGGCCCCCAGGAGCTCTCCAGACCTTTACAGAGAAGGAATCTGAGGTGCAGGTGCAGGGCACAGCTTACCTAAGGCCACACGGCTGGCAAAGCCCAGCTGGAATCCTGGCACATGGGGTGCCTTTGTGCCCCTCGCAGGCACGAACCCTCTGCATGTCCATTTCACAGAATCATTCTGCAACAAAAGCATTCCCTCTCTCTCCTCTGCCAGGCCTTCTCACCCGGGGGTTTCCACTGGACCCAGTTCTCACTTCTCTCCTCACCCTTCCTCACCTTTGCCCTTTGCTCTGATCTGGGAGAACAGACCTAGGAAAGGAAAGGGTGGAGGAAGGGCCTCCAGTTGCTCCTGAACGCCTTTGATGGCCCAGAAGCTGCCTGCTCCTAGCACGGCGTCATCCCGTAGACCTTTCTGCGGTGACGTGCATGTTCTATGGCTGCGCTGTCTATCTGGTGGCCACTAGCTACAGGTACCTTTGAAAGATGGCTAATGTGACCAAGTAACTACATTTTAGATTTTATTTAATTTAAATATAATGAGTGACATGTGACTAATGGTTACCGTACTGGACAGGGCAGACCTTAGAGTGTCCCTTCCGGAGCCACTGGACTGCAGGCCCCGTCCAGGGGAGGCCTCCTGGGGTCATCACCATACAGACTAGACCACCTGCCCCCTCTACCCACAGGACCGCTCCCTCCCTCTGGTCCCAACGCCCTCTGCTACTGATCTCAGGTCCCACCACTGTGGCTGCCATTTCCATTCATTCCCCTGTCTCCACTAGTGCCCCTGACCAGGTCACAGACCCCTCTGGCTGCACTAGCCTCTCGTTTGGCCCCCCTGCTCTGCCCTGCTCTTCCACTCATTCTGTGTACATCGCTGCCTTCCTCAAGACCCTTCCACGGCTCTCCAGTGCTCTTACAAAGAATGAACTGTCTCTAAGGCCCCTCTTGACCTAGGCTGCCTGTCTCTCTCCAGCCATATCTTCCACCACTCAGTTCCCCAAGGCAAACCCCTCCCTCTGGCTTTCAGAAGTTGTTCCCTTTGCCCTGTACTCATCCCCATTTGCCTGGAGAACTCCTATTCACCCTTTAAGTCTTCACTTGAAAATCACTTTCCCAGGAAGCCCCTGCCATCGGGTAGCTGCATGGTAATCCATTCCCCAGATCTCCTCTGCTTCCATTATCGTAGCTTTTTTCACACGACATGGTCACTGCCCATTCTCTTCTCTGTGTCCTATTTGCCTGTAAGTTCCAAAGGGCAGAAGTGTGCCCCCACAATGCCTGACCCACAGCTGGCTCTCAGGTTCAATTGCCGAATGAGTGGATGAGGATGAACAAAGGAAGGTGGCGGGCAGAGTGGGGAGGGCACTGGAGGCAGGGTCACTGGAAGCTTAGGTTCCAGTCCTGGATCTTGCCACATGACTCTGGGTAACCTACTGCCCCTCTCTGGGCCTTAGTTTCCCCATCTGTAAAATGGGGGTCTAGAAGTCAGTTGGAATTTGGAGAGGAGGACTCAGCCTGGCAGATAATAATAACACTGTCAGCCCCAAGGCCCTGAGAGTATGATGCTTGGCCTGGCTAAGTCTTAAGCAGAGGAAGCCAAGATCTGGGAAAGGGCGGGGCATGCCCTGGCCAGCAGGAGGGGCCAGGAAGGGGAGAGGATGCAGAGAGGAACTGAGCGGAACATCCAGGGTCAGATGTTTGTCCTTCAGCAGCCAGGGCCCCAGGGATCCCTGGGGCAGCCCTCACTGTCCTGACACCCTCCCCACCACCCAGCAGTCCCACGTGCACTGTCAACTAGCCGGCAAAGGCCGCGTGCCGGCACTGCTGAGTGCAGAGGCTTCCCTCGGAGTCCCGGGGGACCTTGGGTGGCCCGACAGAGCCCTCCAGCTTCCCTGAGGCCCGGTGGGACATGGGAATGAGCTGAAAGTAGCAGTCATGGGTGCACCTCTGGCATCAGTAAACTTGTCCTATGACCACCCTGTCTGCTCTGGCCCTCTGACCTCGCTCTCCGTGATCACCCTGGAGAGCTACTTTGGCAAGGAGCAGCCTTTGGCTGGTGGAGGCGCCCAAGAAGAGCCTGGCTGTGGGGAACTGGGGCACCATCGGCACCCACTGCAGTTAGTGCTGGGCTCTGATGCTTGCCGTCGTCACCACCGCTTCGACGGCAGATTGGAACTCAGAGGGGTTAGGGTATTTACCCCAAGTTGCACAGCTTCAGTAGCAGAGTGGGGACAAAAACCAGGCCTGCTGGGCTCCACCTCCTGCTTTTCACTGTTCCATACCACCTCCTACTAAGTCAGAGGTCCCCTCCCAGCTCTTCCCCTCGGAAACCGTCCACGGCCAGCCTGTTCCAAGAGTTCTTCTCAGACTGCTGTGGCCTTTACCTGTGGGTCCTCCCCTTCATCCGGGCCCTGGATCCCTGTGCTGTCCAGATTCTCAGAAGTCACCAGGCCTCACGGTCTCCTGGCCTAGCCTTTACTCTGGTGGCACTAATGAGACCATATGTCCCTACTTCCTGTGGTCTTTCCATGAAGTCCCGAGATTGCCCTGGCTAAGAGACACTAGTGGCTTCTAATACACTTGGGTTCAAGGACATTTTGGAAATGGGAGAAAGCTCAGCATCCTTTTCCCAGAAAGACACACCGACACAAAATGTTGGGGACCATTCCAGGGAACCAGGGACAAGAAACCCAGCTTCAGAACAAGAGGGTAAGCGCTTATTCATGCCCAAGGACAGCAGAACCAGAACGACCAACACCTGGGCCCTAGCGTTCTGGGCAGGGACCAGGACACCACCCCTTGCAAGGACTGCCTCCCTGTCCCCCTCAGCCCCTTGGATAACTCACTCCCTCTCTCTTCCCAAAGGAACATGGCAATAAAAGGCAGCACTGATCGTCGAGGGATGGATGGGGAGAGCCGCGGGGGCCCAGCAAGCCTCGCCCCCGGCCATCGGGCTCAAGTCCCACCGCGTGGGCGCTGGGCGGCTCTCTCAACACCCTGGCGGGGTGCCGGGAGGGAGAAGTGGCGCCTGGCCGCCTTTGCGCGCCTCCGCGCCTTGCCTTCCACCACCTGCCCCGCGCGCTTCGGGCGATTCCGCCGCGGAACGCGGGAGACGCCTGCCAGAGGCTGGAGCTGACGGGTCCCGCGCTAGCCGCCCGGGTCTTCCTGGCACCCTGCAGGACGGCGTCCATCCCTGCCCCCACCCCTCCCGCACACAACTGGTGCGAGGCCGGGACGCACGGCGCGGCGGAAAGAGCAAGAGCCCACGGGCACTGGCTGGTTCAGAGTTTGGAGGCTGCGCGAGGGGGCGCCGCGGGGAGGGATAAAAGGCAGCAACAAAGAGCACAGACCTCATCCAGCAGTTGGTTGACTCGTCCCAAAATAGCCGGCTCCATTTGCTGCTCCCCACGGTCTGCTTCCAGGCGCTGCACCCGGGCCTGCAGCTCGGCTGTCCGAAAGTGGGCGAGCAGGCTGAGCGCCAGCGAGCAGAGGGCCAGCGCCAGTAGCCCGCACGACCCCGGGCTCGGCAGCCGCGCGCAGCGCTCCGCCGGCGCCACCGCCAGCGCCACCGTCCCGGGCGTGTCCAGCTCCCCAGGGCCGCGGGCACCGGCGGCTGTCGCTTTGCGGGAGCGCTCTGCTACCATCCCCTCGCGTATTGAGAACCAATAAATAAATAAATAGAATAAATAAAGGCGAGAGCCGCTGTCCAAAGGCGCGATCCAAGCTGCGGGGCAGGGGGAAAGGGCTTGTGTCGCTGGAAAATGTCCCTATCCTTGGCTCCCGGCAAAGAGGATGGAAAAAATAGCAGCTGGAGGGGGAAAGCCGAAAAAACACAACCAGCAGTAATTGGGGTACACCCAGGTAAGAAGAAGAAGTTACTTCGAAGAACGTTCCAAGTCCAGGAAAGTTAGGGGAATCTGGCCGGCTCTCCTTTCCGCCCCGTCTTTCCCTTCAAGTATCTGCAGAGTCCTGGAGTTGGTTCTGCGCCGTCTGTCCTTCTTGGTGCCTCCCGTCTCCCGGGCGAGCCAGTTTCAGTCCCGGGGCGAAGGGGTGCACGTGGAGGGCCCCACGGGCAGAGGTGGGTCGTGGCCGCTGCCGAGGAGCGCTGGGGCCGATTCCGGCGCCTCTGTAACTTGACACACTGGCTGCGGCTGCACGGATCGGATGAGCAATCCGTGCTACTTCCCAAACTAATCTCTCCCGCCCCGCTCCCTTCTCCTCCTCCCCGCTCCTCCTCCACCTCCTGCAGGGCCGACGGCTAGGATTTGTTTATTTATGCAAACTCGCCCGGGGTGGGGGGCGTGGTCTGCAGCGCCCGCTGCCCCCACCCACCGGCCCTGGGAGCCCCTCTCCCGCGCTCCCTGTCCCGTTTGAAGCGACACTTGGGGTTATTTATAGACAGGAAGGGGGTGTGGAGTGGAGCTGGGGCTTCACTTCTCTCCCCTTCTCCGAATTCACACTGAGGGCCCTCTTTGCTTTCCTCATAAGTCATGGGTCCAGGCATCACTCTGCTTTCTAACAAGTTGGCAAAGCCAGCCTTTGGGATCCTCCAAGGAGCCCGGCTGAGTTACTGTCAGGCGTCTAGATGTGTCTTTATCTCCCGAGCAGGACTATCTGAATCCCTTCAGCTGCCATTGGGCATCCCTGTCCTGTCTCATCCTCTCTCTTCCTACCCAAACCAGCCCCACCTTGGTCTCCATACCTCCCACGTCCTGCAGCTGCCCCAGCGCCTTGGGTGGGGCTCATTTCTCCAACCGCATTTTTACTCCAGTGTGAAAAGTCAGCCCTCCAGCGGGGTAGCAGAACTGGTGCCCTTGTCTCTCTTTTAGGACTAAGACATAAGGTACAGGTGAATAAAAACTGAGCAGAGGCTTATTCCAGAGTATCCAATGGGCCAGGCAGTCCTGCCGCCTGCCAGTCCTTCATGCCTCCTCTTCTTGTCTGCCATCGATCTGAGACCTGTTCCAGCCCTCCGCTGTCAGACCAGCCTGCCCCAAACATCACAGCCATTAAAGGTGAGCAGTTCTCTCCTCTGCTCCCTCCTGCTGTCATTTCCTATGCTCCAGTTGAGAACGCTGCCTGAAGGGCATTTTGTAGTTTCCTCTCTTCTCTTGTCACCTCTCCCATTTTAAGTAACATTTGTATCCCACGAGACTTTATCTCCTTGCACCTCTTGACATTCCTGCGAATGAGGTGATGGGACAGAGTTTATGGAGAAAGCCTGCTTCCCAGGAACAGTGCGGGGGCGGGGTAGGGCATAAAAGGCTGGTCCCTGAAATGTAAAACTGAGGTGGGTAGGGTGACAGGGGTGTTTCTGTGATTCCATTTTATAATAACAGGGTTGCCAATTTCACGTTTTATATATTGACCTGATCAGGCTTAATATATAATCCAGTATCACAGCACACCTCAGAGTGTGGCATATTTAATAGAGTAACATAGCAACATAGTACTTATATCATAAATAATAAATGTTACAACATTGCCTGCCAGGTCAGTTAGCCACTAGGGAGGACTACAGGGATAGAAAGTGATGCTGCGGAAAGGACTGGTGGCCAGGAGCTCTGGGTCAGCTCCAGCTCTAGCATTTCCTTGACATGGGACATTGGATAAGCGTGCCTGTTCCCTTACCCTGTGAAGGATATCTCAATTGAGCTGTAGAGAGTAATCCTTGAGAGAACACAGTGGTGTTGATGACCACCAGGGGACGCCAGAGAATTTCTGCACTGAGAGGTACAAGCCCCTGGATCCAGGGACTTTGATTTGGCTCCACCTTCACATCCCCCCCCACACCCCCGTCAAGGGTAGCGGGAATGGAGGAATTAAACTAGGAGGGTAGTTTCATTCCTTCCTTATTCCACAAGCTGATCTTTTCCCTTTTAAGACTTTGGGACCCTCAGGAATGCTACGGCAGTGAAACCTAAAAGATTTGGGGCTACAGCATCCTCTGATTGGGAGCTGAAGGGGGAGGGTGCAGCAGTACTAGCCTGACCCTTGCATCAGAAGTGACATGTCTGGTGGCTTCCCTGCTGGCGCAGTGGTTAAGAGTCCACCTGCCAATGCAGGGGACACGGGTTCGAGCCCTGGTCCGGGAAGATCCCACATGCTGCGGAGCAACTAAGCCCGTGCGCCACAACTCCTGAGCCTGCGCTCTAGAGCCCGCGAGCCACAACTACTGAGCCTGCATGCCACAACTACTGAAGCCTGTGTGCCTAGAGCCCATGCTCCGCAACAAGAGAGGCCACCGCAATGAGAAGCCCACGCACCACAAGAAGAGTAGTCCCCGCTCGCTGCAACTAGAGAAAGCCCGCACGCAGCAACGAAGACCCAGCGCAGCCAAAAATAAATAATTAAAATAAATTTATAAAAAAAAAAAAGAGAGAGAAAGAAATGACATGCCTGAACCCTGAGGCATCCAGGGGGCTCTGGGGTCACAGAAACTCGGGAATTCTCTGTCAATGTTGGATCAATGTTCTGTCAATGTTGGAGTTAACATCTCTAGAAAACAGAATTTCTTGCTTGTAGCAAGAAGATAGACTTTCAGTGCTAACCCAAAGAGTTTGACTTTAATCTGTGGTCATGATTCTACTCCTAGATAAAAACAGATACTCTTGGGTGCCAGAATGTAAAGCTAAGAAAAAATGTCCCTGCACACACAAGCTGTATTGTTCCTAAAGTATTTTCTGTGTTTTTCTGCTTCCACATATCTGCTCACGCTGGTCCCTCTGCCAGTGAAGTCCATCCTTCACTCACCTGTTCTCTGTACCTTAAAATCCTGCCAATCGCTCCAAGTTGAGTCCCTGTGGCTCTAGTGGGGTTGACCCCATACCTGGCTCTAGGGTATGTGAACTAACCTAACCAATTAGCATCTCCATCTCCCCTGGCTACAGTGATTGGGCCCAAGATGGGTATGTGGCCCAGTTCAGGCTAAGGAGAATCAGGCTGGAATGACTGAGAAGGGAATGCTATTTCTTTGCCAAGGGCTTTCTGAAAGAGTAACAACTACCGCAGTGGGCAACTTGCCTGTGTTCTTAAAGATCCTGCCTGAGAATGAAACCAACACAGGAGGCAAGCAGAGGCGGAGACACTGAGTCATGAAGACAGTATTTAAACCCTTGGATCAAACTGTGCCGAAACTCATCGATGCCTGCACTCTGCAATTACAGGACTCATTTTTGCTCAAGCCGGTGTGAGTTGGGTTTATCTCCTGCAAGTAAAAGAAGCCAGAGCCACAGAGAGGGCCTCACTCCATCTTACTGAGTCAGAATCTCTGTGGTGGGAGTAGGGGCACAGGGAAGCCCAGGTTCCCATCCTGCTTATGGAAGCTCCTCAAGGGACTGGGATGTACGTCCAAGGTCAGAAGGTCACTGCACTGCACACAGGACAGTGGGGGAACTTGTCCCTCCTGAGCTCGTTTCCATCTCTGATGATGACTTTCCCATGCAAACCCACAGCCCACATCTCCCAGCACTTCTCACCCGTGTCTCCAGCTGCCTCTGGCAGCTCTGTTCGCACCGAACAGTCAGCTTCCCCTGGCACTGCCTGGCTTTCATTCCCTTGGTCTGTGGCATAGGCATCGTCCTGAGGCTCAGGCTGGATGTTCACCTCTTCCCTCACCCTTACCCACTTCATCCAATTGGGATCACGTTCCGCAGATTCCACCTGCTTAGTTTCTTTCAGATATGTCCTTCCTTTTGGATTTCTCTGCTCTGCTGCCTGCCCCATGCCCAGTCCTCTAAACAGGTCCAACTCTCCCACACAGTAGCCCCAACTGGGAAACCTCACCCAAGGAGGCCTGGCCTGGGGACCTACCATAATCTCTCCCATACACTGCAGACTCCCTGTTCCTTATTTCTCTCCCAGGCTTTATGATCACGGGCATCACAGCCCTGCTTCTCAGCTCTGTTTTTGACTCCTGCATGTAGTGAGCAACAGGATAGGAGGAGCCTGGGCCCCTGGTGACTTTGCGGAGTTGAGGTGACAGACAAGCCTAGACTTTCACACGAGTGAAGTAACTTACTTCATTTGAGTCACTGTTATCCTAGTCTGTCTTGTGTAGGCTAAATCATGTCCTAACTGTGACCTGTGTCTTTTCCCTCCCCTAGGCTATGAGTTTCTGGAGATCAGGATGACCGTATTTATCTCTGTACGCTCAGTACTCAGCACAGTGTAGATGCCCAAGAAATGGTGGTTTGAATGAGTGAATGAGTGAATGAGCAAATGAATGAGCAAATGAATGAATGGATGGATGGATGGATTCTAGTTCTGGTTCTCTCTCAGCTCCATTAACCTGGGCATCTACTTCCTTTTTTGTAAGATTTAGAAATTGATGGGCAAGGGAAGGCAAGGAGAACTGGGATGTATAAGGGTCTTCCTAACTCAAACATTCATCCATTCAGCAAATATTTATGGAGCACTTGCCAGGCCCTGTGCTGGTGCTGGGGACACAGTGGTGAACAAGGCAGACTAATGGTGGAGGCCGACAGGGATAAGAGCTACAATGCAGGACAGAGAGGGTGCTCGGGGGATGAGACCTGAAGGATGAGCAGAGTTAATCAGATAAAGGGGTGCAGGGAGGGCGTGCCAAACAGGGGAACCTACCTGTACAAAAGCCTGGAGGGGAGAAAGAGTGTGGTGTTTGGGGGAAACTGTCAGTGGTTCACTGAGGCTGAAATGTGGAGTGCAAAGGGACAGGGTGGGGGCTTCTGCTGAAGAGGTGGGCAGGGGCTGAGGAGGACAGAGGATTTGGACTTTGTCCTGAGGGCAAAGGGGAGCCACTGAAGAGGCTTTGCCCCTGTGCTGGGTGTCGGGAGGTACTGACCTGCACCAGATGGGGATCCCAAAGAGAATGAACCAAGGCCAGGCCTGGAGTAGAAATAAGGTGAGCAAGGCAGGCATTCTCTGGGGCTCAAGCTCTCAATCTCGCCCTTGTACAGGCTCTGAGATTAAATTAGTTTGCCCCAGGTTAGAGGACAGTAGCATGCAGTGTCTCTGAGGAGAGTGCACTGGGGTTTTGGGGGCCAGCCCGAGGCCCCTGCTTGGAGTTGCAGATAGGACATTTGGAAATGCCTTTTCCTGAGTCCCCACTTCCTTCCCACACAGCCACGCCAATCAGCTCACGGGCTGTGACTCTGCAGAGCTGAGGATGGGTGTCGAGGGGCAGGGGCTGCAGATGTGCGGGGGAGGGCCAGCCTGCCCAGGAGGCCCTGGGAGCCTTGTTAACTG